TTTAGAGCAGACAATTTATAACAACTTGGTTACGTTTTCTGTTTTGTTTTGTTGTTTTAGGTAAAGTTGGTGCCCTTGACTGCTTCAGAAATCCTTCTACTGGTAGTGTGATGTTTTCATATGACCTTTCCAAATCTTTTCTAATAATATAAGCTTTGTTGTAAATGTGAAATCAATCAAGAAGCAGGAATATGTTAGTGTATTGCCTGTATTTTATAGTTTTTCTTTCTCAAGCATGTTATTTTTAGACAGCACACATTAAGCAACTTGTTTCTGAATTAAAGTATTGCTCAATCTGTTTGCTTTCTTAAGAATTGCCTTAAACCACTAAACTATGTGTGCATGGGATTCTGGTTTTGAGCAAGTCAGTAATGAACTTTTAAAGTTCAGTCTACCAAGATGAGTCAGTGTGATTGATTTATTAATTAGCAAAAGCCATCCTCTGAAATTACCTTGCATTAATCACAATTCATGCAAAATATATCCAATTAGTCTTAAGATGTGGGTTTGACAAACTATCCTTTCTTCAGAGACTACAGTCAATTTTAATAACCTTTGCTGGATAAATCATTAATGTTCCGCCTGAAATGATGAGTGGCTGAGGAAATTCCTAAAAGTACCACAGGTTTATTTCTCCAGCAAAGCTGAAAACTATGTAAAATGGAGACAGGACGGCTGGATGAAGCAGGAAACAAGATTCTGACAATTCTGGATAGTCTAGTATTTGCTACCACTTGCACTAAAGGAATTGCCTCTAATTGGATTCTTCTGAGTCGAGGGCTGGTGAAAATACACAGAACCAAAAGTGTGGGGAAACCCAAGCTGCCAGAAGTCAACCTTTTAGATAAGGACAGCTAATACCTGTCCAGGGCCAAAATAAATGAATCCATTGGTTAAAAAGGTCGGGCTGACTAGTCATTTGGACTCCTGAACGTCATCCTTTTCTGCATGCTCCAAAACCCGTGCTTGCAAAATCAGACCCATTCAACTGAATTAATGTCTTCCAATGGACCTATTTTACAGATGAGGAAACAGAAACCCTCAAGGTTAAGTCCAATATTTATTATGTGGCAAATCCAGGACCAGAATCCAAAGATGTTCAAGCAAGCTAAATAACTTCTCTCAGCCCAAGTATTCCTTTGTATAATGATAGAGCTGGGATAAACAAAATTGTATGGTTTCCAATTCTAAAGTGTTGTGGTTTTAGTATCTGGATTCCAAGACTACTTTCTCAATAACCTCACTGTGCCTAAGTATTTATGTATGTATAAACATATATTTTATATATGTGTGTGTGTGAAAATATACAATGAAAAGTCTATAGAAACACAGTTTAAGGAATTCAGGTTTAAATGATGCATATATGACCACATTTTTAAAAACATGTAATATGTTCACTTCCTATTACTACATGTGGGGGTTTTTGGACCTACTGACTACATAAGAAAAAAAAAAAGGAAGCCAGATATTTCTGGAGATGTTAAATTCCCCATTCTTTAGATAAAATGAAAATAATTAGAGACATATGGTGGATTTTTTAAAAATCCACCTTCTCCTTTTACTGGAAAGTTTTAAATATCTCTAATTGTATTAGAAAAATGCTGAACTGTATCAAACACAGGTAATCAAACAGGGAGTTTTACTAAATTCATCTCCTAAAGATAGTTCACTGCCGATGGGGCGTGGTTCCTGAATTATCTTGTGAGCCCAAGTGATTAATCAGAAGTGAAGTCAGGGCTAAGCTTCAGGGAGATTTCACAAAAAAGGCAGAAAACGTCCAAAACTATGTTGGGGAAATTCTCTCCCTTCTGGAGGTGCTCGACATTTTACTAAGTAAACTACAAAACTCTCTTGAATATTAATGAACTATGAAGTACTTGAGGTTATTAAAGAGAAACAGAGAGAAAAAACACTCAGACTAGGAAAATGCTACATGTATTAGGAGCAGGAGTAGTTTGGGAAGACAACCCTTGGAAATGAGTTTACCACTTCCTTAACTTTGAAATTCTTAACTCTTGATCAGTCAACACTTCACCAGCTTCAGTTCTGCAATTAAGGAAGTAAAACCCTGAATCCGAAGCACTCCTGGTGAATCGTGACCGGTATCTGCCCAAGTTTCTCTCTGGCCAGGGATCCTCATTCAGCATTCAAAAAGGAAAGCTGTGTTCTCGGTTCTTATTTATTCATTTATTGACGGAGCCTCTGTCACCCAGGATGAAGGGTGGTGACGTGATCTCGGCTCACTGCAACCTCCGCCTCCTGGGTTCAAGTGATTCTCCTGCCTCAGCCTCCACGGCTAATTTTTGTATTTTTAGTAGGGACAGAGTTTTGCCATGTTAGCCTCCAACTCCCGATCTCAGATGATCCATCTACCTCAGCCTCCCAAAGTGCTGGGATGACAAGCCTGAGCCACCACACCCTGCCCTGAGGTTCTTTAAATGCTATACATTTCAAAAAATGTTACCTTTTAGGATGAATTTACAGGGCAATTGAACTTAATTTAACTTTTTCCTTTTGTTTTGAGGGCCTCTGGAGAAGTTGATAAAATTATGATTTATCATTTTGCAAGGGACATTCCAAAAAAGCAGTGTGTTTAATTTTTTTAAAGACAAGCAAAGGTCATAGAGACCAACTCAACTTTTTTACTTTTGAGACAGAGTTTTGCTCTTTCATCCAGGCTAGAGTGCATGCAGTGGGGCAATCATCTCAGCTCACTGCAACCTCCGCCTCCCAGGTTCACGTGATTTTCCTGCCTCAGCCTCCCTAGTAGCTGGGATTATAGGTGCCCGCCATCCGCCTGTCCCAACTCAACTTTTAATCTGACTTTGGGAAGGCTATTTTTTTTTTCTTTTTGGGAAGCCTATTTTGCAAAGAGTGTTTTTGTTTTTGTTTTTTTAATTTGGAATCTTTTGATTCATTTGTCAAAAATACATAGTTTAACAAATACTTTTAAGTATATAATAATACAGAAATGCACTCTAATTGTAAAAGACAATTCAATATGGAGTAAAAGGTTTATGAAGAAATGGATTTCATAAGGGACATCTGAAACTAATCAGTGGGTATCCTTAATCCAAAGCCAGAATCAGTGGCTCATGACTGTAATTTCAACACTTTAGGAGGTGGAGGCAGACAGATCACCTGACGTCAGGAGTTCGAGACCAACCTGGCCCACATGGTGAAACTCCATCTCTACTAAAAATACAAACATTAGTTGGGTGTGCTGGCCCAAACCAGTAATAACTAGTAATCCCAGCTACTTGGGAGGCTGAGACAGGAGAATCACTTGAACCTGGGAGGTAGAGGTTGCAGTGAGCTGAGATCACACCCCTACACTCCAGCCTGGGAGGCATACTGAGACCTTGTATAAAAAAAAAAAAAAAAAAAAAAAAAAAGATCCAAGGCAGCTCCAGAGAATTGGGTGGTAAATTTCCAAGTAGAAACACCCTAATCCTGAATCCAGATTCTCAGTCCACAACTTGCTGTATGCCTGAGCTCCATTATTTAGTTCTTAAATTGATTTTTTAGCAACCAGCTGAGGCCTCTGCTTCCTTCATATATGCAGTCATCCTAGTTACTTCCTTCTAGTCCTTCCCTCCCGTGGGCCCAGAGGGCAAACACAGAAAATTCCCCCCTGATAAATGCTGATAGCAGTGTGAGAACAGCTGCTTTTCCCCGAGCTTGCTTTTCTCAATTTTAATAAGTATCGGCCCTTACTGACTACCCCTGGCTTTGCAAACCCTTGCTTGGCTGGAAAGATTTACCTCCTGCAAAATAGAATGGTGGTGTTAAGAACTGTAGCTTACAGATAAACACATTCAAATGTGACAGCGTTTGAACATTTCACTCCCAATTTAATCTTTAATTTCTCCCAGATAAGCAGTAAACTTGATGTTTAGGCACTAAACTTTTTAATGTTTAAAAATAAACATTAAAAAAATTAAAAAGCACTAAAAGCTTTAAAGATACATGTCCAAATTACCCTATAAAGAGTTGTTTATAAAACAAACAGAACACCGAGTTCACAGAGATTAATTACAGAGGACCTAAGTTGAGGACTATATAATGTCATAAAGGATCATGATAACCGACAAAACTGAATTAGCATCAGTTTGAGACCTCACAGTTAAAGGAGGAAACAGAAAAAAAAAAGTCTACTGTGTGAAAAGTGTTTAAATATCGACTGCTGTGAAAGTGGGTATAAAAATAAAACCAAAGCGATGGAAGAACTGTTTTCTGTGTGCAGTGGGAAAGTTTACACAGATGACAAGCTGTCATGTGGGGACGTCCCGGCAACATTCTAAAGTGTATTTCCTTAGATCAAAAAGGACAGACACAAGCCCAACATTTATATTAATATCTGTGCTGATTGGTCATAGTTCCTCTTCCCCAGAGTAAGACATGCTGCATCCATGGAGCAATTTGTCTAATACCTTAATTCTCTGAGTACAAAGACCAGTGGGGTCATATGACGTTGCTATATTTAGAAAAGGACTCTGTTTTCTGTTTTGTTCAAGCTTAACAATTTTCTGCTCTGAAGAGAGTTTCAAATGTACATTGATCTTTTTCATATCGTGAATGAAATGAATTAGCACCTGTTTTCAACTGCCAAGATACTTATTTTAAAAAAGGGGAAAGAGAAGTCTGTGTACTCTGAATTCAACCAGGGACAAGGGAGGTGTAATTTTGTTTCTGCCTTCTTCCACAGAACTTAACCAGAAAGCAGTGATCGTATTTACCAAAGTTTATACATGCTAAGGTAGGTACTGCACAACTGAACAAAGGAACACGTGGAGGGATGAACATACCCCATGGTGATTTAGATAAACATTTTCCAAAAAGAATACTACCATGTAACATGTAACTGTGCATAATTCACTCTAAGGAAGCAGAAGAATAATTTATTAGTTACAGAAACGACTGTGTAAGCCCTTTCCTCATAAAATACCTAGAAATGATAATGATTGTTTAAATGAACAGGGTTTTTTCTTTTTTTTTTAATCCAAAATGTGTTTATTGAGATGGTTTCCCACTCATCTTGATTCAGAGTGCTTTTAGTGCTGCTTCCTCCTGAAAGAACATCCTTCTGTAAGCCTCGCTTTTCCTCCTGTAGGCTGGCAGAGGACCATGGAGCAGCCAACACACAAAACTACCGTTTGTGCCTGGCTGAAGACCGGGGTAATTTTATAGCATCCTGGGCATTTCACATCCATGAAGTAGGAACTGGGGCTCTGCACCAGGCTTTTCTTCTTGCGTTTCCTCTTCTCCTCTTCTGGAGAGGGATGAAGGAGATCCTTTGCGAGAGGCATGTTCTGGTGGGTAGGTCGTCACCGCCAGAAAGGCTTTTATTATTTTTTTTAAATCATAAACATTGGCCTGACATCGTGGCTCACGCCTACAATCCCAGCACTTTGGGAGGCTGAGGCAAGCGGATAACCCGAGGTAGAGAGTTCGAGACCAGCCTAAAAAAAAAAAAAAAGTAAGAGAGAGATGAGGTCTCCTTACATTGCCCAGGCTCATCTGGAACTCCTAGGCTGAAGGGATCCTTGGCCTCAGCCTCCCAAGATGCTGGCATGGGGAAGCCACCATGCCTGCTGCTCTTGAGAATTCTTGAGTGTTGTCTCTGGTTAAGTTCTACTTAGAAGTTAACATTCTCCCCAAGGCCAGGCATGGTGGCTCACACCTGCACCTATAGTCCCAGCTACTCAGGCTGGAGTGCAGTAGCCCCATCTCGGCTAAGCTCACTGCAACCTCCGCCTCCTAGGTTCAAGCAGTTCTCCTGCCTCAGCCTTCCAAGTAACTGAAACTATAGGTGCATGCCATCATGCCTGGCTAACTTTTGGTATTTTCAGTAGAGAAACTAAAATCACTACATTGGCCAGACTGGTCTTGAACTCCTGACCTCATGATCCACCCACCTCGGCCTCCCAAAGTGCTGGAATTACAGGGGTGAGCCACTAAGTCTGACTTGCTTGAACTGAGTTTCAGCTGGAGTGGGGAGCTAATGACATCTCCCTCCATGCATTTTATGCCCTCTTTCTTCTTCTTCTTCTTTTTTTTTTTTTTGAGACAGAGTCTTCCTCTGTCACCCAGGTTGGAGTGCAGTGGCCCCATCTTAGCTTTCTGCAATCTCTGCCGCCCAGGTTCAAGCAATTCTCCTGCTTCAGCTTCCTGAGTAGCTGGGATTACAGGCACTTGCCACCACAGCCGGCTAAATTTTTTTTAAATTTTTAGTAGAGACAGGGTTTCACCATGTTGGCAAGGCTGGTCTCAAACTCCTGCCCTCAAGTGATCTGCCTGCCTCAGCCTCCCAAAGTGCTGGGATTACAGGTGTGAGCCACTGCACCTGGCCTCTGCCCTCTTTCTTATTCTGTCTCTACCCTATGATGCACCCACCAGGAGTTTAGGCCATTAAAACACAGTATTTGAAGTTTGCAGAATGTATTTACATTTTATCTTATGATCATTATAGCTTCAAAAATAATAAAAGATGGTAAAGTTGGTCTCCTTTCACATCGACCAACTTCTCTTCATATAAATACAAGCCAATTGAATGGCATTCCAATATTATATAATTATTTCGGTTGTACCTGAAATTGCAGAATACTAAAAAAGTAAATTGGGATTATTTTAAATTGAAACGTGCCCAAAGTTTTACTATTTATCAGCTTTCTCTGAATGCTATATCATGACAGTTATATTTTCTTATCACGAATTATGTTACCTTTATATATATATATTTAGAGAGATGGGGTTTCACTATGTTGGCCAGGCTGGTCTCAAACTCCTGACCTCAGGTGATCTGCCAGCCTCAGCCTCCCAAAGTGCTGGGATTACAGACATGAGCCACCGCGCCCAGCCATGTTACCTTTATATTTTACAAAACACCCGTTATATGTGCAAGTCCTTTGCTGGACACAGGGAAATGAAGAATGATAAACAGAAGCTGATCTTTGCCTTTGAGTTTACTTAACATATAAATAGCAGGTATCTTCCAGATGCAAGTAACTGTACTAAAAACTTTAGATTAGGGGCCAGTAAACATTTTGCAAAGCATCAGCTAATACCTATTTTAGTCTTTGAGTGCTAGAGTCTTTGTCTCAACTATTGAACTACAAGTGGAACAGAGGCCATAGCCAATATGTAAATGAATGGGCTCAACTATGTTCCAATAAAACTTTATTTTATTTTTTTTGAGACGGAGTTTTGCTCTTGTTACCCAGGCTGGAGTGCAATGGCACGATCTTGGCTCACCGCAACCTCCGCTTCCTGGGTTCAGGCAATTCTCCTGCCTCAGCCTCCTGAGTAGCTGGGATTACAGGCACGTACCACCATGCCCAGCTAATTTTTTTTTTTGTATTTTTAGTAGAGACAGGGTTTCACCATGTTGACCAGGATGGTCTTGATCTCTTGACCTCATGATCCACCTGCCTTGGCCTCCCAAGGTGCTGGGATTACAGGCTTGAGCCACTGCGCCCAGCCAAAACTTTATTTACAGAAATAAGCAGCTGCCCAGATTGACCTAGATGGGCGAGACCTAATTTCTTTTATTTATTTATTTATTTATTCATTTTAAAGACGGGGTATCACCATGTTGGTCAGGCTGGTCTTGAACTGTCGACCTCAGGTGATCCGCCCGCCTTGGCCTCCAAAGTGCTTGGATTACAGGCATGAGCCACCACACCTGGCCGAGACCTACTTTCAATGGATTGTCATCCATCTGTCACAGCCCACTCTCTCTTTTTTTTTTTTTTTGAGACTGTCTTGCTCTGTCACCCAGGCTGAAGTGCAGTGGCATGATCTTGGTTCACTGCAACCTCTGTCTTCTGGGTTCAAGTGATTCTCCTGCCTCAGTCCCCAAGTAGCTGGGAGACTGAGGCAGGAGAATAGCTGGGATTACAGGCACATGTCACCATGTCTAGTTAATTTTTGTATTTTTAGTAGGGATGGGTTTCACCATGTTGACCAGGATGGTCTCTATCTATCTCTTGACCTTGGGATCCACCCACCTCAGCCTCCCAAAGTGCTGGGATTACAGGGTTGAGCCACGGTACCCGGCTCCAATTTTTAAATTTTATCGATTGATTTTAGAAAAGAGCAGCATAGTGAAAAAAGTGAAGAACTGTATTCTTGCCAAATTTTACTGAAATATTACTAAAATATTTATTAGAAGATTTTCTTTTCTTCTTTTTTTTGAAGATAGGGACTCGCTTTGTTGCCCAGGTAGAGTGCAGTGATGATCTTGGCTCACTACAGCATCAACCTCCTGGACTCAAGAGATTCTCCCACCTGAGCCTCCAGACTAGTTGGGACTACAGGTGCACACCACCACAACCAGTTAATTTTTAAATATTTTGTAGAGATGGGGTCTTTGTGTTGCCCAGACTGGTCTCAAACTCCTGGCCTCAAGCAATCCTCCCTCCTCAGCCTCCTTAAGTGTTGGGATTGCAGGTGTGAGCCATTGCACCTGGCCAGAAGTCTCTTTGTGATAATAAAAGACACAATCACGGCTGGGCTCGGTGGCTCACACCTGTAATCTCAGCACTCTGGGAGACCGAGGTGGGAGGATCACGAGGTCAAGAGAGCGAGACCATCCTGGCCAACATGGTGAAACCCTGTCTCTACAAAAAATAAAAATAAAAAAGACACAATCACTACAGAACACATGAAAAAATATTAGTCAGTACAAATAAGGAAAATAAAAATCTCTTGAAAATCTACCTCTCCCCAGCTAATGACGTGAACAGTTTGGTGGAGTTCTTTTCCATACTTTAAACACATAAGTAAACATTATTAGTTCATATGTTGCTCTCTCTGTTTCCCATGTAGATTGAGGTGGCAGGCACTTCGGTTTCTTACACAATGCAATCACCTTCTTATATTCTTTGCTCACAAAACTGCCTCTTTTCAGATAATGTGTTGTTACATCTTCAGAGAGGAAACTTGACTCTCCCTTGTCCGGAAAGGTAAAACTCCATTATCTAACACTAAAATCTGGATGTTCCATTCTTCTTGCTTTAGAGCAGGGTTGATTGGTTTAGAGCAGGGTTTCTCACCATCAGCTTTATAGACATTTGGGGCAGGATAATTCTTTGCCGTGGGGGGCGTCCTGTGCGCAGAGGATGTTTAGTAGCGTTCCCGGCTTCTACCCACTTGATGCCAGTAGCAACATCCCTCTCTCCCCTCTGTTTTTTTTTTTCTAATTATTATTTATTTACTTATTTTTGAGACTGAGTTTTACTCTTGTTGCCCAGGCTGGAGTGCAATGGCGTGATCTCAGCTCACTGCAGACTCACACCTCCCAGGTTCAAGTGATTCTCCTGCCTCAGCCTCCTGAGTAACTGGGATTACAGGCGTACAGCACCATGCCCAGCTAATTATGTACTTTTAGTAGAGATGGGGTTTCTCCATGCTGATCAGGCTGGTCTTGAACTCCTGACCTCAAGTGATCTGCCTGCTTCGGCCTCCCAAAATTCTAGGATTACAGGCATGAGCCACTACGCCCAGCCTCTCTCCCATCTTGTAACAATGAAAAGTGTTTCTAGGCATGGTCAGTTGTCCCTGGAGGACAAAATTTCACCTGATTAAGAACCATTTGTTTAGGAGTGGGTAGACAATGCAATTCTGGCCAATAAGCCATGTTTTTACATCTACTTTCTTCTTTTTTTTTTGAGATGGAGTCTTGTTCTTTTGCCCAAGCTGGAGTGCAATAGCGTGATCTCGGCTCACTGCAAACTCCACCTCCCAGATTCAAGTGATTCTCCTGCCTCAGCCTCCTGAGTAACTACAGGCATGAGCCACTGAGCCCAGCGATGTGTGTGTGTGTGCGTGTGTGTTTTATACCAATACAGTTGCAAAATACACATTTGTATTTTATTTAAGGGACCCATGAAAGTCATATTGTGGCCCTGCTTGGTTTCAGCATATTTATTCAAACACATGGATGCTTCCCACCGCATCTGTGGGATCTGATTCCTTCCCTGTGGCATAAATAGAATAAAAGTAACAACTTGAGGCCGGGCATGGTGGCTCATGCACTTTGAAAGGCCGAGGCAGGTGGATCACCTGAGGTCAGAAGTTCAAGATCAGCCTGGCCAACAAGGTGAAACCCCATCTCTAAAAATAAAATAAAAATTTAAAAGGTAACAACTTGAATCTCAATGTATAAAATACTCATCATTTCCTATCAATTGTGATGAATTTTCAACTTTAAAATATACTAAAGATGAAAAAAATGTTTGCATAATTTTTCTTTTTCTTTTCTTTTTTTTTTTTTTTGATTTGGAGTTTCTCTCTTGTTACCTAGGCTGGAGTG